AGTCAGAGTGGTATTTACCGGTTCTCTGAACTACTCAAAATTTCCGCTACAGATTCTCCCGAACTGGTCAGAACCTGTTGAATATCACCTCTGTCAGGAAATGCATGTAACATTAAGTGTTTTATATTTTGACACCCGATTTTTAGCCTTCTATAGATTTCTGGGCATTCTATAAAATGCCTAATTTCACACATTGACGGTAACATATACCAACAACAACTTACACAATAATTTTAGTAATATTTGTTCAATGAGCCATAGAAAGGTTCATATATCAGCTAAGCCAGAATGCAACATAATCAACAACAACAAAAAAGTATATTTAGCATAATACTGCCAACATGTTAATACTGTTTCGTTTTTTAAATTCTCTTTTTACTTTTTTTAGTTTTTTTTCCTGTACTTTTCAGTTATACTTCTTTCTATAAAATTCCTATTGAAATGGGGAATCAATAACAATTCGTAGTAATCCCTATATTCACAATTGAAGATAGTAGGAAATCATCATCCCACATATCAGATGCACTGGCATCTGTTTCATGTTTCGTTCCTAAACAGTTTATGATAATTACAGCCTACATTTAAGACCATTTGAATCAACAAGCTGGTGCAAAGGAAACAAAAGCTTCTGTAGGTTTTTTTTTTCTACATGAAATATAAGGATACTGGCTCTGGATAACCATTCTAATCCGAAAGGCTGACTAACCATGAATCCATCACAGACTAAGAACATTTACACTTGGAGGCATGAGGGAAGCAGAATCACAGTAGAACAGACATGTTTTCTTAAGTGTTTGAAAGAACAAATGCTGCAGTGTCCTTGACAACTCCAGATTCATTTATATGAATAATGAAAGTCTGCCAAATGAAATACCAGGTTTAAATTGTGGGATTTTTCTGGCTTTACCATATATGAACTTGGAGGTTATATTTTACTCAAAGCATTGTGTGCACAATTTATTTATTTATTTTTGTATTGGTTTATTTATCCTCCTTTTTTCTATCTACTATGACATACACTCTCCCTTTCAAGCTGCAAAGGTGTAGATTTGATGGACTAATACAAGGAATTAGTAACTGGATTAAAGCAATGTTTGCCACAGTAACAGTGTCTTCCACTAAGTATAGACTAAAAATAAAACAAGCAAGTAAAACAGTAATCTGTCCACGTGACTCTTTGCCTGAATTCACACCGTAAGCAAGGCTAAAATATTATTGGCTAATGTCCAATATATGATTGAATACAGTCATAGAAATATCCAGTATAAATGTAAATTAATGAACAGTTTGCCCAAATTTTTTTCTGAAACTTGATAGTCTAACATGCAATAAGAAACTAGGTATTTCAGATTGTGTATCTAGTTTGTGATAAATATAGCAAAATTACAGTTGTTTCTCACTCTAATTGGAATTATAAAGGCATAATTTAGTCAAATTATTTAGTCAAATTTACCTTCGAGACCGACTTCTGCCACCAATAGCCTCCCACCGGCCAGTTCGCTCCCACAGAGAGGGTCTCCTCAGGGTGCCATCAGCCAAGTTATGTCGGCTGGCAACACCCAGGGGGAGGGCCTTCTCTGTGGGAGCCCCAGCCCTGTGGAATGAACTACCCCTGGAAATACGTAAGATCTCCGACCTCCGGGTGTTTCACTGTGCACTGAAGACCCTGTTGTTCCACCAGGCTGGGCTATCAACATAATAATTTTAAATTGGGGTATTTTAAATTTGTGGGGTTTTAAATTGAGCCAAATTTATTTAATTATTTTAAATTTTTAATCGATATTTTGTCTTGTGTTTTTAAATAGGCTGTACACCACCCTGAGTCCTTCGGGAGAAGGGCGGTATAGAAATAAAATTATTATTATTATTATTATTATTATTATTATTATTATTATTATTATTATTATTATTATTATTAAATATATCTCAGGAGTAGATGCCACTATTTTTAATCCCTCTTATACCCAATTAATTTTGGGCAGGGTTTATATACATTCAACTAGATCTTTAAGCATCTTTATTCACAATGTTGTTTCCCAGATTTAAAAAGGTCTGTTCTTGAATAAATATATACACAATGAGAGCCTGTTTTGATCAGGTTCCAATTAAGGTTTTGGAAGTAGGGCCAATATTTTTTCTATTTCATTAGATGGCTTCTCTCATCCTGTGTTTTGTATCTAGACTTAGGGAAATAACAATTCCCCATTTGGTTCGCTTGAGGGGAAAATTCTCAAATGCATCCCAAATAGATACTGTATTTTTTGGAGTATAAGACACACCTTAGTTTTTGGGGAGGAAAATACGAAAAAAAATATCTGCCTACCAGGTATTCATCTGGCTAGTCCTTAGCCTGGTCAGCTTCAGCACATTAGTTAGGTCACTGGTTTTGAGGTTGGGGCTGGTTGGGGCTAAAAAACAGTTTCTAAAGCACAGCTGATCATCAGAGGGAGCAGCAATTAGAAAAGCAGGCAAAGCATGGAAGATCGGGTTGGGGCTGAAAAACAGCTTCAAAAACACAGCTGATCGTCGTAAGGAGCTCCAGTGACTAAAAAGCTCCAGGCGACGGGTGACACATGGAAGGGGTAAGAGAAGGCAGCAGCTCTTCCAGGTAGCCATTTTGGGCACTGCGCATTGCATTTTCAGCCTCCAAATGCATCGCGTTTTCGGGCGCCAATTGGTGGGGATGTACTTTGGTGATCCCTGCAGCCTTGAAGGGGTCTCAAACAGAGTGTTTGGAGGCTGAAAATGTGATTCACAGAGTCCAGAAACACAAGCCATTGTCAGTGGCAATCTCTGCAGCCAGGAAGAGGACACACGGAAGCCGAAGGGTGGGGGCTGGCAGGTGGGCGGGGTTACATTCAGAGTATAAGACACACCCAAATTTTCAGGCTCTTTTAGGAGAGAAAAAAGTGTGTCTTATACTCCAAAAAATACAGTATTTTTATTGTAGTAGCAGCTCCCCATGCAGAATGGCCAATAATCTGTCGATAACTCACATCTGGCTTGAGTTTAGCTCATGGGACCTGACTTAATAAACTGAAAAAAATATACTACTGAAGGCTGGATCAGCCATGGTGCCATCAAATCTGGTACCTCTTTGAAAGCTAATAGTTCAGTTCTTATCACTGTCAAAATAGGAATGGAATGGAAAGGAAAGGCGCTATGAAATGGTAAAAATGAAAGATGCATACATGAGACAATGTGATTCCTCCATACTACCTTGTGATACTAACAGCCAGTTCTAGAGAACAGCCTAGTGTTTCTTCACTAGTTATGGTGGAGCTTCTAGTCTCACAGCACCTGGACACCATAAAATAGTTGGAGAGAACTCCAAGCTGCCACAATTCATCCTTAGACCTTCTCTCTCATTGTTCAGATCTACATATTAGAGAAGAAAATGAATTCAGATTGCATCATCTGAAAATATGAACCAGACTAAATCTTTGTTTTAGTTTTGACAATTTTAAGATGAATATAAATTATCAAAGAGATCAAGTAGTTGACATCTTTTCAAATTACAATCCAAATTGTTCCTGATATTTATTTTATTTTAGATATTTATTGGATCCAAACATCCTGGAGCTGAAGGTGTTATGCATGTCCCTCCTTTCTCCTGCTTTCCCCCATAAGAACAACTCTGTGAGGTAAGTTGGCTGAGAGAAAATGACTCTTGTCCAGTTACTCAGGGAGCTTCTAATAGCTGAGGATGGACTAAGACTGGGTTTTCGTAGTGCTCTTCTAGCACCCAAATCAATATACCACACTGCATTCTTCCAGGGCAATTCCCAACATTTCAGAAATGTGTTCTGATTAGAGCTGTAAATAAATGCAGAATTGCAGTAGAGTTGAAGCATTTTAAAAAGCATTTTGAGTCATTCTTTAGATATCTGGAGTGTTTATAAAAAGAAAATGTCATAAAGTGAATGGAATGCTTTTAAAAGTCCATTATGATCAAATGACAGTTTGTGGAAAAAGCTAATTGATAGGATGCCCAGGCCCCTTGTTGGCTTCAGGGAGGAGGAAAATGACATTTATGATACAATATTGAAGTCACTTCAATGTCAAGAGAGAAATAAAGTGGATGCAAAGTGTGAAGGAGAATCTTTTGACCGTTCAGCTATGTAATCATAATCAAGAGACCAACTGCAGAGCCAATGGAGTGGGTTTTTTTTTTTTTAAAAAAAAGAAAATATACAAGATGATTGCTTTGATGAGCAAGAGGAATTTCAGAAATAAAACAGTTCTGGGAGAGAAAAATTAATCTCTCAGCTACATATGCTTAAGAGCTTACATTGTTATTCTTAAAGGAAGCATAAGAGTAAGCAACCTAATAACCATGGATACTAATGTACTGGAAAACTATTAATAAAGAAAGACATTATGACATTTTAAAAGTTAATGCATTTATTGTTGCATAACCTGCCATGGATCACCATATATTTCATCAGATGCTTCAGAAGTATATCATGGTTATGCAATGATAAATATGTTCATTTTAAAGTACGATAAGACTCTACTTCATTTTCTGATGGAGACTAATGCAATTAGAAGAGAGGGAAACGGTGATAGGATGCTGTTTATTGTAGCATGAAGCATTGTGGACCTTCTTTCTCCAAGCCTTCTTACTCTTTTAGACTGGATGCAATTTTAATTGATATCAGGCCAGGCTGATAGGGTCTAACATTAACTGGAAACGGGCAATATCTGAAAAGCTTTACTCATCTTTTATAATCTTTCCTGCCCCATCTAACTTTTCACATGAAACCAACTTTATCTCACATTCCTCAGATTGGTTCCCTTACCTTGTGAGGTAAACACCATGTGAGGTAAAGTATCTGAGTTGAAGAACAACCTTCTGTGAAGAAGAATCTTCCCCAAAGTGCCCAAAACTCCTTCACTCTTCACTTTTTAGCTGCTCCTGAAAGGAGCCTGGAACTTTGGAATAGCTAGAAATGAAATAGTGTGAATAATAAAAATAAAAAGGAACAACAAACACTTACGATCCAAGTACTTCCATGAAAATGAATGTTTTTCTGATGTTGGCAGTTGGTTTCTTCCAAGAAGTGCTGTCATCCTCTTGTTTGCAACCCATCTTCTCCAGAGTTAAAGCTGAAATTTCTGAAAGGATATAATAATGGTTGAAGAACCATTATTCTAAAACAGTTATTAATGACAACACATTAGTAAATTCTCACATTTTTCGGTGTCAGATTTCTGGCATCTTTAGCAGATTTTAACACAACCTGCAGTCCAGCAGAAAAGAATTTGCCTCTGTAATTGTTTACAGCGGTAAATGTACTACTGATTGTAACAGTCAGTGATAATTGTTTACCACTGGTTACCTTTTAATTTCTACAATTTGATCTTCTGGTTACTATCCATGCTCTGGAATTCTTCTGAGTAGAGATAAAACAATTCTGATACTGTCATCATCTATCCTATTTTTCTCTGAGGGCCTGAACTATTCTCTTGTGTTAATGGGTAGCATTTTCTAACACTTGTAAGACCCAGCTGTAAGCCCCAGGAGGGTTTTCAGCACTATGAAGCTTTAAATTGTCAAAAGACTTGTCATCTAAGCTTCTAACTCTTACTGAGAGTCAGAAATGTTCCTCTGAGTATTCTGTATTTTGGAATATGAAAATTTAGATCTGGTGATTCAGAGGTTTTAGAAAATACAATGTTGATTTGAAAATTTCAAAGTAGGATTATTTTAGGGTGATGATAAAGTAATTGCTGCTATTATTCTAGATGGCTGGTTCTTGTTATTCATTGTGACAAAACGTATAGGACTATCATCATAAAATACATTACACTAATGTATTTAGCACCAGCATTAATGTACTTAGTAAAGCTAGTTTGGAAATCACATAGAAAAATCTAAATTCCATTCCTTTTAATCACAATAAAGTGTGCCATAATAATTAGGCTGCTATTTTTATTAGGATTGACCTACATTTTATACCAAATGTAAAACTCAGGGATATTAGATGCTAACACACTCATTAGGTAGTAATGATTGTAGTTTACAGTTGCTTCTAAAGATTGTGTAATCTTATTGCTCATCAAAGTTAATAGTCTACCGTTAGAATTCAGAGCTAACACACACTGAAACAGATTATATAATTGCAAATTGAATAGAATGTACAGACCAGATTCGTTGTGAAAAAAGAATGGGCAAAGTCAGACAATAACAACACAGAACAAACCTTTCTTCAAACAGTAATTAAATTAAAGCATTTCACATATACACACTCAAATAGGAGGCTTAGAGCAAAACTACATGATAATTAAAACATATTTTGTGCTACCTGTTTCTTTTCTTTTCCTGGTTGTAATGCATGATGGTGATGGGAGAGGAGGAGAGTAAAGCTCTTTTTTGAATCAGAACTATTGGTATGAGAAAAAAGCTTGATCTTTTCCCCAAAGTAAGTTTACAAGAAAGTTCTTCTTCATATGAAATTATTTTTAAAATAAATCTTTATTTTTAAAAAAAAAAAAAACATATAAAAATACATCTGCATGTGTCTTTCTCTAAACAAAAATCCTAAGTGGATAAGATGGTGGAATAGCCTTTTGTTCTTTTGTATATGGCGCCTCCAGTCCAAAATGAAGACTGGATTCATCATCTATTTCCACTAGATCAAATGAAAATGCAGATAAAGCTACACAGATTCTTATTTTTATAGCCGCTTAACTGATCAGTTTATAAATCCTAATGCTGGAGTAATCTGAAGGAAAGATAAACCCAAGTGTTACTTTGATACAAATTGAATGGCAGTTATATCATGTAAATACATGTAAATATATACATGTACATTTTAATCTGTTTTTAAATTATTGGGGTGTTTTAATTTGTCTGGGCCAAAATGATTTAATTTGATTTTATCTGGTTTTTTAAATTTTTTGTATCTATGTTATTTTATTGTTTGGCTGTTCACCGCCCTGAGTCCTTCGGGAGTAGGGCGGTATACAAATCAAATAAGAAAAGAAAAAAGAAAAAAAGAAATATTCATAGCATTAAACATTTGTCTTTGGGGGAGTGCTTGGAAGAATGAGATAATCGGGAATTTTCAATGCTTAGGTTTGGATGTTACTATGCATCTTAAACAGCAATGAAACATTAAGAATTTTGATTGATAATAGTGTTATTTTTTTCTATCCAAGTTCTTTTTAATTAATTCAATTTGTATGCCACCCCTCTCCGAAGACTCAGGATGGCTCAGGGCAGAAGACTCGGGGTGCTTTTTAAAAATGGAAAAAGAATCTCATAGGTCAGTGATGGCTAACCTTTTTGCCATCTCGTGCCAGGAGCAAGGGGGGATTGCACACACGTGTGCCCATACCCATAATTCTATGCATCCCACCCCCACGCAAACAGGGCAAACGGGCCATTTCCGGCCTCCGGAGGGCCTCTGGGGTGGGGGGAAGGCCTTTTTCACCATCCCCAGACTCCTACAAAGGCTCTGGAGCTTGGGGTGAGAGAAAAACAGGCCTTCCCCACCACCCCCTAAGGCCTTCCGGAGACAGAAAACAGCCTTTTTCTTTATTTCTGGTGTGCTCAAAACACCCGAAAATCAGCTGGCTGGTGCACACATGCGCGCCGGAGCTGAGCTCGCGTGCCCACCGATATGGCTACACATGCCACCTGTGGCATGCGTGTCTTAGGTTCACCATCATGGTCATAGGTTGTTACCAGGTACTTGTTTTTGCATCATACTTTCAATATAAAACCAGTGCTGCCTTCATTAAATATCAATAGCATAGTATTTAAATGTGAATAGTTAAAGGTGAAACTGCTTGATGCATCCTTTGACAGGAAATGTCCAAAGAAGCCTGTTACCAACCAGCAGGCAAAATTTATGCTGCTTCACTGATCAGCAGACTGGCAGGTAATTTGTGGGGATGAGTGCCTGATTTTTCTGCATTTATTAGGAGCTTACTTCCAAACTGTAAAGCATAAGATTGCAACGTTAAGGACCTTCAAGATATTGACACATTATCTGTAGAAGGAAAGGCTACACGATGCTGTACTGTTTGTGTATGCTTGGAGACTGGCATTTTGTGGAAATCAATATTAAATAAATTAATAAATAGACTAGTAGAAATATGGATAGAAAGGAACAAGGCTGCACTCTATTAGTTGCTACCCTTGCCTTAGTATAAATGTGTTGAGGAAGTTTACAAAGTTGTTCTTCTTTGATCTGAGAATTAAATAGAAATTAAATGAAAACAACAGATGCTGCATGTTTTCTCAAGCCTAGGCATATCAAGATGTTGACTAATTTTAATCCTTTTCTTCTGCAAAACACTCCAGAGAAATATTATATTGTCCCACCACCATTAGCTATAGATTTTCTAGGGAGCTCTTACTTCCAGACTGAATTCAGATTCTTCACAGTAACTCCATTTATCACCATGGCTACATTTGGCTTCCACAGGTAGAAGCCCTTTATGAGACAAAATGCAAACATATCAGGAGTTTTTTTCAGCTATACTTAACAATAATTTGTGCAATTAAAGAGCATTCTGACAGCACTTCTAAATGGAAGCCCTGGAAATGTCCTGTTGTGAGCAAACACACTGAATTGGAAGATGGAGCTGGGTGCAAAGCCCAACATTGCTCAAAGGCTGAAACACCATCACTCTTCCTACACCTTCTCCTTTTTCAGGAATAGCAAAATCCTGTAGATACATGACACCATTTGCCAATGGCCAAATGGAGTCTTTTGTTAAAAAGAGGAACATTTTGAAGAGGGAATCACTACTGCACAGGAAAAAAAAGAGGAAGAAAAAAATATTTTTGTGACAAGTAGTTAAGGCTTTCATTTCCCATTGAAGTAGTATTTGCCACCTATAATGACTAGGGTTACACAATTTTCGAGTGCCCCAGAATCAGACATCAAAGATTAATTCAAGCATCGTAAAAGAAAAATGGATTCGGATGCTAAAGAATGACATTTTCAGTCTACAAACCCTTTCAAAGCCAATATGTTTGAAACTGTGTTGATCCCTAGTCAACTATTAGATTCCAAATCTTGATAAGAATTGCCTTTCTTTATATATTTCTCTGGATCGACACATTTAGCAAAATGCAAAAAAGGAAGTGGTTTATTGACAATATTTGAAAGTACCAAGTTTGTTTATGGAGATTCTCAGTCATCCAGGTCCTGGTTGTCCCAAAGGTGCTTTTCAGGAGGCAACTGGACTTTCTTGTTTTTCTTTGAAGATATTTTATTTCTAATCCAAGAAGCTTTTACAGGTCTGACTGGATGATGGGAAATGGAAGAGCTGAAGAAGCTTCTTGGATGAGAAGCAAAACATCTTCAAAAGAAAAAACAAGAAAGCCTAGTTGTGTCCTGAAAAAGCACCTTTGGGACAACCAGGACCTGGATGACTGAGAATCTACACAGACTTTTAGCTATGCACTTTGGGATGAACACACTTTGGAAGGTGTGGGAGTATGAACGGATTTCCAGAAAAATTGCAGACTACAGGAACCAGTTGCTCTTCAGTTTGAGATGCAGACAACACAGATTCATCCCCAACAGCCTGCACCTGTCTTCATCAGGGCAAAAAACATCCTGCAGCCAATAAGGCTCCACACCCATTCACACTACTCAGGTGACCCTGACGACACAAATAAATTTCCAAGAATGCAAATAACCAGCTGTCTGCAAGGAATATAAATCCTTCATTCCCCACCATCCAGTCAGAGCTGAAGAAACTTCTTGGATGAGAGCAAACCATCTTCAAAGAAAAAACAAGAAAGTCCAGTTGCCTTATGGGCAAGCAAACAAGCATGTTTGTTTGTTTGTTTGTTTGTTTCCCTAGCAGAACAGATTTCTTCAACCTGGTCTCCTGTAGCTGGACTGTAATTACTATCATTCCCAATAAGCATGGCTATAATCTGGGAAAGGTAACTATAATGTCAGTTTAATTAGCAGATTGGAGAAAGCTGCATAAGAGTATAATAATGCTCTCATAATTCATTGTGACTCAACTTTTGGAGGCTAGGAAAACATTTGGAATTCTGGGATCATGTAACTGGCACACTCTCAAAATGACTGCCAAGAAAGATAACTCATGAATAAACAACTATAATAGGCATGGTTTGTAAAAAAAGAAAATCTACCAAAAGGCACACTAACATGCCAATATGATTTTGTGAGGCCTAGGACATTGCTGCAAATAAATACGATATGCCAGAAGCTGCTACTGTGCCACATATGCACATATGCCCACAGGCAGAGCTTTGGTCATACCAATTTGGTTCCCATTTTAACATTTCCTCCCTACCTTGCAGCCAAGATCTGTGGCTATCATTGTGGCTATGGCGTTTGCCTTGAAGGTCAGTTCAAGTTGTATTATTGACCGTAGCAGTAATTACTTCATTAGTTTCATCCCAGGATGTTCTCTTATAAATCCAGGATAAACTGGTTTATAGGGCTCTGTAGGCAAAAAAGATCTTTAAATGGCATTAGAACCAGTGTGCAATTCCTTAGGACAGTTATTTCTTTTCCCAGGATCACTGCAGATGACACTGGGAAAAGATGCAGCTGATTGAAGAAATTGAAGGCAGGTACTGAGGTGGGTAAAATCTGTTAGGCTTGATTATCCTCCTTATCTAGTGGTGGGATTCAAATAATTTAACAACTGGTTCTCTGCCCTAATGATTTCTTCCAACAACCAGTTCACCAAACTACTCAGAAAATTTAACAACCGGTTCTCCCGAAGTGGTGTGAACTAGCTGAATCCCACCATGTCCTTATCTTGAAGAGAAGTCAGGTGGTTGGTAGAGAGTAGGAAAAAAGGAAATGGAAGTCAGGAATCAAATGGGAGTCACACATTTTATGGCAGTAGAGCTTTCTGCCAGTACAAGGGTGGATGGATAGTATTATGATTTGGTGGTACAGAAAGGCCTCTTCTTGATGAGATTCATGTGGGAATAGAACATAGTGAGAATGAAAGAAAATGCTTCACTAAAACAGAATGAGCATTCCAATTTACTTTGCATACTAATAATATTTTGGTTTAAACTGACGGTTTAAAATAATTATTCTAGATCAGGGGTGTCAAACTTGATTTCATCGAGGGCTGCATCAGGGTTGTGTTTGACCTCGGGGGGCCGGGATGGGCATGGACAGGATGGCCGTGGCCAACTCAATGTCACTCGTGTCAGGGGTGACTATGGTGGCCTGAGCACTCTGCCAGCGAAAATGGACTCTCAAGCTCTGTTTTCACCTGTGATGGCCCCTGCAACCTTCTGCCTGCGAAAACAGAGCTTGGGTGGGCTGCACACGGCCCTCGTGAACTCCATTTTCTCTGGCAAGAGGCACTGTGGGCTGGTCCTTCACTGTTTCCAGGGTGACCAGGCAGGCCAGATCTAAGCACCCCGCAGGCCGAATCTGGGCCCTGGGCCTTGAGTTTGACACCCCTGTTCTAGAACAAATAGAAATACTACCATTTCATTAATGCAGCTTGTCTCACATTATCTTCTTCTATTAGAGATAGCCCTGATTTCAGAAGCACTTCCCTTTCCTGACTTATTTGGAACCATTAATCTTAAAGACATTGGATTCAATGGGAAGTTGTGCCAAACTGTGGCTTCTTGGCCTGTTTACTTACTCCCATTTAAAAAGAAGAGTTAAGTGAGAATCAGGAGACATGTCAGCTATAATAGCAACACACAGGCGCCAACCAGCTCTTACTTTTGAAAAACAAATGGCTCTTAGTCTTTTTTGATGATGGCAGGAGAAAGAAATGTGGGATGTTGTAGATCTTCCAGTAGTCTGTTTACTAATATCTGTTCATTAAAGTGTTCATCAACACTAAGAGCATTTTCTGAGAGTGGTATACTTAAACTAGTACTGCTATGAGTAAAGCCTGACATCTTAATCTAAATACATATTTATGCCATTTATTTTATAATAAGATAACTTATTTCATAGTCAGCTATTGGTGGGTGTTCATTTTAGAAAATCTAGGATAATTTGATGTGGTGGCTTAATTCTCATGATAATTGTAACATTATGTTCATGAATAACCCATTTTAGAAAAAAGATGCCAACCCAGTTAAAGTTGGCAACTTCTAGAAGGTAGCTATTTCACAACTGTTTATTTCATTAGTTTATTTTAGAAATAGATTTGTAATAATAAGTTCTGTCCGCAATATACAGAACAAGCATTGGTAAAAACAAATTGTCCCCAGTCTAGGTACTATAACTTGAATGCAGAAACCCAGATGTCCATTAGGTGGCAGGAAAGGGAAACAGAACAAGCTTAGATCTTAGTGGGCTTTTTTGTGGTCCAGTTACGGTAGCCTTAGACTAGTCAGCAATGTGGCCTGTTAATCACCAGGGTGTTAAATAAGCTCTAAGCTCTAACAGTTACTTTGATTAAGCTTCCGAAATGAACAGCAAAAAAGATGAGCAACCAAGAAACCAATGTGATCATCAGGCATGAAATAAGGAAGCTGTGAATGAAGCAGATTGTGCGGAAGTATAATTACTGGTCTAGTTAGCAGTATGCCATCTGACATTGATATCTTGATGATTCCTAAACATGTGGAATTAACATGTGAGAGAATATATAAGAAGGCATTTGGGAGAAAGCAGAGTTTCCATTTTGTCTTCTTTTTTCCTGTCACCCATTTTGCAAATATGCATGATGTTCGTTTACATTGTTGAATGTATTACGTTTTTTGAGTAAAATCAGACATTTTTAAGCATGTAATATATTGAACCCATCCACATTTTTTTATTTCACTGTTGTTTGGTTGGCACTAAAAGAAACTATAGCTAAGGATATCACATAAAGAGGTGGCCCAACCAGGAAAGAAACTGAGGGAAAATATAGAACCAGGGAATAAATTATGCTATTTATTTCATAGTCTGCATGTAATATAAGTTCATTAAATTATAGAGAGAAAAGATTTAAGAAAAACACAGAAAGAGACATGACTTGCAAAATATTCCTGCCAAGTCCTATGTGTCAGTCTAAGAATAGACAATTAATTGTATACTTTCATAGCCCTAATAAATTAAATACCCATGAAGTGGTACAAAGAGTCTACCAAACTTTATTCTAAAACAAGTCATCTTTAGAGCCTTATATAGAGGTAAAAATCTCTCAATACGTTAATGCGTCTATAGAAATTCTCAGTCAGCCATGTCATGGTTGTCCCAAAGATGCTTTTCAAAAGGCAACTGGACTTACTTTGTTTTTTCCTTGAAGAAGTTTCACTTCTCATCCAAGAAGCTTCTTCAGTTCTGAAGAACTGAAGAAGCTTCTTGGATGTGAAGAGAAACATTTTCAAGTAAAAAACAAAGGAAGTCCAGTTACCGTTTGAAAAAACACCTTTGGGACAATCCATTAATGTATTTTACTACTTATTAAGACTACATAGGAATTCAAACTGTTCCCTCTGGGTCTCAATCTGGATGCAGATATTTTGCATAAAGAGATGACAGAAGCTTAACTTCCTACTTCTACCTCTCCCAGCCAAAGTAGTATAATATGACTTGCTTAACTCGGTTTGATACAGAGACAAATGTGTCATGCAATACAATCTAATAATATGGATAAATATTTTACTGATAAAAATTGTTCAGCATTCATATCCTATAGCACAAACTGTGAAGCATATGCTGCTGAAAAGATATATTAATAAAACTACAGAAACACAGGAATTAACTCAGTCAAAGTTGAAATGGGAAGAAAAGCAAAATAAAGCTTTTGTGATTTCTCCTCCCCCTTTTGTGCCTCTTAATATATTACCCAAAAGAGATAGAGGTTAAGCAAATCATTTGTATTTGCTTAACCTCCACTAAAATAATAATAATTCATCTAAAATTCAATGCATCATTAACACAGCTCTTTGTTCCATCATCCTAATTACTAAGAAAACTGCAGTCTCCAATATATATTTCCAACTGATTACATGCTAAAAAGAAAACTTAATCCATATAGTAAACAAGAAGAGACCATGGTAAAGGAATGCATTTTGCTAGAGGTCATTGAAAAAGGAACTCAAAATTACTTCTGATATTAATTTTCAAATTGTTACAAGCATTTGCAAAGATTTATTAGCCCTGTGATTCACCTCGTTCCACAGTTTATTCAACCGTAAGCAAAAGGACAGAGTAAAGTATTATGCTGGGATACAAAATCAGCAAAGCACTCTGTAAATGATGAAAACAGCAAACACGCGCTGAAACAGACTGAACAGAATGCACATCATAGTTTTGACAAAACAGACACGGAACATAAATGGTTGTCAAGGAAATAGGATCGACTTACCCCCAGACCAAAACGAAGGAACTTCTGTTCTCTGACTTGCCTGTTCAGCTCCTACAGGTCTACAGGGATTAATGCTAACAATAAACCAAGATTAAAGGGGAGGGAAGCAGGAGGCTCCTTTCATGAGATCACAGCTAAGCAAGCTCTTACAGGGTGATGACTTAGCAGTAGCATGCATTTCTTGGTGGGTGTTTCTGTAACAATAATAAAAGTGGCATTTTACACTTGTCCTTAACACACTCCAAGCCCTTTTATATGTGGGTCTACTATTGAAGAATAGTCAATAGTGCTTTGGAATAGTCAAAACAGCATTTGATACATATCCCCTTTCCTTGCTTGCTAGGATTATAGTAAAGCCTCCCCCCACCCAAATTATGGCACACATTTTGGCCAATGCAAATTTCTGGAGGCTGAAAGGCAACCCATGGTGCTGAAATCAATTCCAATCTAAAAACAAAAGGATCAAGGAACCAAACACAGAAGCTGTTTTCATTGCATAACTTTCACGGAAACTAGATAGCCAAACATACACATATAAACATAATACACAATATTCTATCCTGTCAAATCCATGCGATTCAAGCTACTAGATACCACCAATGATGAGAAAAGATGGAAAAAATCAGCAATATGGCTATTGTACAATGGTATATTATCTTAGATCCAGTGTGGAGATTATATTCATTTTTGAAATGCACAACTTTAATTTCAGAAGAAAGGAAGGTTTATCATTGACAAATGGTTACATGATAGTAAATGAAATGTACATTTAAAAAATTCAGAGGTAATATTATTTCACACAATCAAATCCTAATCAAAATTTGGGATTATAGCCAGACCTAGTCTAATTTTATAAATCATGCCAAATGCTAATCTAAATTATGAGTTTTAATGTCTGGATACCTACATCATGCTAAGCTAGAACCAAACAGCAACATTATAATTTAATATAATATATGAATCATAGATACATTTAAGTGGTCGTAGTTTCAAGACTTGATTCTGGCAAAAAGGATTGGATTCTTCCTACATGCCGTTCATCCAGTGGTGGGTTGCTACCAGTTCTCCCCGGTTTTTGCGAACCGGTAGTGGAAATTTTGAGTAGTTTGGAGAACCGGTAAATACCACCTCTGTCTGGCCCCACCCCTGATCTATTTGCTGCCTCCCGAGTCCCAGCTGATCAGCTAGAAGGGAAAAAAATCAGGGCTCACTTGACAAAGAAAAGAAAAAAAACACAAGACACCTTAGCTTTAAATTGAGAAGCCAAGAAGCCTCCCAACTGATCAGCTAGAACCGATCTGCTCCTTGTAAACCGCTCAATGGTAGGTTGGCAATTGAGGCCAAACTGCCTAAAAGCGGTTTCTGATGCTCTCTGTGGTGGCAGAATGGCAAAAAACTGTTTAAACTCTTGCCGTGGAGCTTCAAAGGGCTGCCCTACAGCTGATCAGTGGTAAAAGGCAGTATGGTGGTAGACCAGTGCGCTCCAAAAACAAATAGGTAGATCGGAATGCTCCAAAAACAAATGGGTAGACCGGAATGCTCCAAAAACAAATGGACCGGTACGGCTCTGCAAGCAGTTAAAAGCCTGGTAGACCAGTACCTCTGCGAAATCCTAAAGAATTGTTTGTCACATGACCATCAAACCATGCCCACAAAATAAGCCATACCCACAGAATCGGTAGTACAAAATTTTAGAACCCACCCCTGCGTTCATCACTGATTTACTGAATGATGACAAATGATAAACCTTTGGAAACTCTACTTCCATTCATTTGGAAACCTAGAGCAATGAACAGAAGTTTGGAACAAGAGGCAGGAAGAAACTAGGCAAAGAGGAATTAACATAATATTAGCCTATGAACTAAAGAATCCTGAGGGCAAGAGAACTTCAGTTCCATTGAAATAAGTCAAAGTTCAATTAATCATAACTCAAGTTGCACTAACTTCAGCGAGTCATTTGTAAGCATGACTAAATCCAGGTTCATCAATGCACTTAGCTTTACATTATACTTTACATTATTATTCATTGGTCAACTCTGTAGGGAGGAGGGTATTTTTCTTCAACAGAAATCAGTATACACATTTTAGAGCAGATGTTCTCTGTTTGTACAGTCATACATCATATTAATGATAAGAGAACTTTACAACAAATATAACCTTTTTAAAACAACTTCACTGGCTGTCATTTAAATGTAATTGAGGGCAAAGGGATAATATTAACCACTCTTCCTACTATAACATTCCTATATCTGAGAGCTAACGTTAAGAAATATGATATTTATTATTTAAATTATCATTATTTTTTTCCTAATGCGTGATCAAACATTGCCCTCTAGGGGTGAGTGCTGGGCAGATTTCAAAGCTCAATATTTCACAATTTTAGCCATATTTTTCGATTAAAAAATGTAATTTAATTTTTCTAGCTTTCTTCTAACTTGTGTCTTATATAAAGAGTATTAAGAAAATATATTTCTCAAACTGAATTAATATTAGCTCTGAGTTTGCGTGGATGTCATGGATTTTAATCAGAAAAAGTACAGGAGAAAGACATTACGCCTTTATTCCTCACCATTACTCAGTAAAACCAGTAGCCCTTCTGATTTCTCTAAACTAATAATATCAGAAGACCCTGTAATTTTAATCTATATATATTGGGGGGGGGTATTGCCATTAAAATGCCTGTCATTGCTATGTGTTGGACATGCACTTTAATAGGACAGTCTCGATTGTTACAGAAGCCATGATAAATAAGATTAAAGTGGTACTAGGTTAGGGGTAAATGATAATGAAACAGATTGCAGACTGTTGGATTCAAATGTCTACCAAATATAAAAAAAAATATTTTGGGAAATCTTGTTGTTCAAGACTTAGTTTAAAAACTCTCCTCACTTTTAACTTCTCCCCAAAGTTACTACATTAAGGTTACCACTTTTTAAAAAAATCAATTTTGTTTTGATTTACTTCCCTAAGCTCTTTTAAAGCAGTTTATTTAAGAAAGGTCAAACCAAGCCAAGAGTTTCAATATTTCATTAATCCCTGGGTTGTTCCTTTAATTCCAAATTCCAACAAACCTGGAACCTGTTTTTCAGGAAGAGGATCAGTGAAAATGAAAAGGAAAAGAAAGAACAAGCCTGAGATATTAATTATGGTACATTAATTACTGTAAAGCTTCTTCATTTTTCCACAAATATTCAGCACAACATGTAGAAATTGGGGGCACAGACTGGGACCTGGCAATGAAAATAAACATATTGTAATACTGTGGCTATCATTGTCACCAACTGTCCCCTCCCTGCAATTTTCATTGGAAGGAAAAAAAATTCCCTGCTTCACAGAAGACCTATTTTTACAATGCAATTTGTAAGACTACATGGCCGATCCCCAAACTGGATCACAGCACGGGGTAATAGATTAAATCCACACTAGCCCCAGGAGAGTCTTTATATCTCTTTCCTGTTGTCAGTTGTTTTTGAAGAGAAAAATAAAAGCCTTTAGCATTCAAGGACTAATGATATGCTTAATGCCACCTCACATTAGGATGGCCTTGAAAATGTTGCAATTTAATAGTGATAGTTCTCCAGGGACTTGCCATAGGAGGGAATCATTTCAATCAGTCAGCTGAAGTTACTCACCAGCTCAGATCTCAGAAAACCCACTATCAATGAGAACAATATTTTCTTTTCTTTTTTATTTATTCATGTGCTTTATGGAGAGTGTTGGAATAAAGAGATTTATGGAGTAGAAGCTTCGGTTTGTTTGGACTGTGATATACTTGTATTTGAAATTTAAAAGTATTTCCATAGTGTTTAAGTCCGATAAAAGGTGTAAAGCTAATTTAGAGTCAGTCATATTTCCATCTATCCCTGCCAAGTAGATTTGGTATATTTTTTTCTCTATTAAAAAGGATCATCCCCTTCAATTCAGTTGCCTGTTAATAGAAATGGCATTTTAAACTAAAATGTGTTTAGAGGAGTAAAAAGAACCTTAGACTCTAGACCAATGATGATGGAGCACAGAGAGAAAGTCTATGGAAATTCTCAGTCATCCAGGTCATGGTTGCCCCAAAGGTACTTTTTCTAAAAGCCAATTGGTTTTTTTCCCTTTGAAAAATTTTGCTTCTCATCCAAGAAGATTCTCCAGTTCAATTGACTGGAGGCAACAGAAGCAGTGGTGAAATGTAAAATTTGTTACTACCGGTTCTGTGGGTGTGGCTTGGTGGGGGGTAATGTGACTGAGTGGGTGTGGCCAACTTTTTAAAAAAACTTTTAAAACCATTTTTTCTATAACCTCTTCAGCTGAAGAGGCTGTAAAAAAAAGTTTTTAAAAGCATTTTTTTGGCCTAAGAGGTTGTAAAAAAATGCTTTTAAAAAAATAGCCTCTGATGATTGTGCGGCTCAGCTGGGCATGAGCTGCACAGGCAGGGATTTTCTCAGAAGCACCCGCTGCCATCACTACTGGATCGGACGATCCAGTCCAAACCGAGAGGATTTCACCCCTGAACAGAAGGATTTATATTCTTTGCAGTCATCTGGTTCTTGGTACTCTGAGGGTTAGTTGTTAGCTTTCTGAGAGTTATTGAAGCCACTCAGGGGTTTATCTCTATCCTTGGAGTTACCAGAATCAGAGCACAAATGGTTTTGAAATCTTCTTGGTACTGCTGAAAATTGTAAAGAGGAGACAGGTGGCGTTTTTAACCCCCCCCATTGAAGGAGGGCTGTTCAATTTTAACACAGATGACCTCTTTGACTCCTCATTCAAACCAGTGATCCTCTCTGTCCAGAATGTGAACTTTGCTGCCTTCAAAAAAGTGACCCTTGTTTTTGAAATGCAGATGGACTGCTGAATCCTATCCTGATGAGTTTGAGAGAAAGCACAAACTATATTTGATGTAAGGCTATAAACTGTAAGGTAGATACTATCTCTGATTGTAATAATAGACTTCCTAATACATCTATGTGAATGAAATACTGGATTAGATAAACCACTAATCTGAGCTAGCAGAGCACTTAGTTTTTTACTGTCTTACATCTCTGAATTTAAAACAAAAGTTTTAGGAGAATTTTAGATTGGGATACGCAATATTTGTGGTTGAAAGATGCAAGTCAGCCTCTTGTCCTGCTGCAAAGCTACAAGAGGCCACTGTGTAATGGAGTTACATCATTGGAAAGCAT